GCTTGACTCAATTGTCCGTCTCTGTCTCTGGCTGTCTGCAATTCTATGCCGTCACTTTATTCGCAAGCTTATATACTAAAACAGAGGATGCGTAGAAAAGACAAGAGCTGTTGGGAACAGTCATGATCCTTCTAGAAACCCATGACGTGTTACCAGCATCACGTGACTACCGCTGTCATAACAGTACTACCAATAAAAAAAATATGTAAGCCACTGAAAATCAACACATTTAAAGCTTATTTTCATCTAATATTTTTTACACACAACATGAAAATGTCAGAACAACAGTATTGTGTTCCAAAGTATTCTCAGAATAGTTTGAACAAGTTTTCAACAGAACCTTTGATAAATAAAGAGTGGATGATCGCAACACACAAAGACAAATGACAGCCCACAGCAACTAGTATTGTATGTTGCAGCCACTTCACAGAATCTGATTACAAAGCTCTTACAAATCATGGTAAGACAATTATCGTTAAATACGGGAATAGTTTGTTCCATATATAGTGATAATATCATGGGCAAACACAAGTGCTGTTTCTGACATTGTAGCTAAAAAATAGGCTTTAGCATGCATGTACATACCACTGTCAATATTTCAATGCCAAAACATCACTTTACTTTCATGTAGTATGAAAGTATTGTAAATTATAATGGGATCGAAGGCTATCAAAAGCATGCATAAAAATATTTTCAATAAAAATGTGATAGAATGAAAAATATAAGACAACTGTATTTCAATAAATACTTTCAAAATAAAGCAACTGACACCTTTTACTCTAGTGTCACAAATTTAAAAATGCTATAAACAATTCTATTATTTCATTAGAAATAGTTTTTAATGCTGTTTATTTTAAAATTTCCAAGCATATATATTTGCCTTTATCATATCATTGAAATTAAACTAATAAAACATTTGCAGGATTTCAAAGTTGTTTATCACTTAGCTGACTTCCACTCGCCATATGTTTACTGCACAGTAGACCTTATATTAAAATCCCACACTGTTTTCTCTAGTAGAGACCAAACCAGCTCATCATTTTTTGAAGAAAGAAGACATCCTTTCAATATTTGCATGGTCAAAATTACTGTCTGCAGCAAAGCTTAAGAGATACAAGCAAGTTCTCAAGTCCAAAATAAACAGCCTAATTTATTGGAAGTTACTGCACTGTTTGAAGAAGTAATTAGAAATGAGGAAAACAATAATGATATTGCTGTTATTGAACTGTCAATGTCATCATCATTACAAACCCCAACACCAGAGTAACCTCCAATATGCATTGAAAATTTCATTGAAAAAGATTATGTTATTCATTATTACACAAGCTTTGAGAACTACAAGAAATTTAGTTACATTCTTGCAATTCTTGGGACAGCTGTGTATGAGCTCAACTACAGATGGAGAATACCAACAGCACTGAATGCTGAAAACCAGTTCTTTTTGACACTCATTAAATTAAGGCATAAGACACCAAACAAAGATCTTGCAATCCTCTTTAACATTTCTCACTACTCATTAGCAAACATATTTGTCACATGGATAAATTTCATGTACTACCAGTGGAAAGAAGTTGACATCTGGCTATGTCAGGAGCTTACCTGTTTCAATATCTTTAAAGAATTCAAAAAATGTTACTCAAGGACCATAGTAATCTTTGATGGGACAAAATTCCCCATCAAAAAGCCAAAACAACCATCAGCACAACAAGCCAGTTACTTTAATTACAAGAACACTAACACCCTTAAAGTCATCACTGGTGCTTCTCCAGGGGCTTATAACCTACAATTCTAACTGGTATGAAGGCACTTCTACTGACCATGCTCTGGATGAAAGGAGCAGTCTTATGTATCATTTGGACCCAAATGATGATCTGATGGATGACAAAGGTTTCAATATTCAGGATCTTTTTGGATCATATGACAAACGTATGAACATGCCAACTTTCTTAAATATAGGAGCCAGTTCCGAAGTAATGTCCTTATTAGGGATAGAAAAATTGCCAGCAAACGCATTCATATGAAACGAATAATAGGACTAGCAAAAACCATTAAAATCCTCACATTCCCCATGAGTCCATTAGAAACAAAAATTGGAAGTGAAATTTGTTTTGTTTGCTTTATGCTTTGTAATTGTCAAACACGTACTGTGCTAACCAATATATAGGCTTCTACTGAATGATAAAGTTTATGTAACAGAATAGCAGTCATTATGATTATTAGGCAATTACCATAAGTTTATACAAGATCTTGGCATTGTTAACATGGTTAAGGTTATCTGTTATAATTTTGTCAGTATTTATGTTTATTATGGATTATGTGAGGGTTTTTTTACCAATTTTTACAAATACTATATGTTTATGATCATTTTTAACCTGTTCAGAATCATAAATTGATATTTAAAATAATAAACCTATACCTACTATCATGATAATGGTTCCAACTAACATGATCCCACAAATATTTATGATGCTTATATACTGTGTCAATTGTCTCTTTCATGTATGTTTGGTATGCATTGATTACGCTATTAAAATTTCTAAGTCACATTTATGTTTTATCAATTTTACTGTAGAAAACAATAGCACACATGAGCTTATACTGTAAAGTGTATATATATATACATATTTACCTATTGTAATTAGCCTCTGATGTCTAACCTTCATATATTATAACCATTTCATGATATAACTACTACAACATGTGATGTCTGAGAGACAGTGTTGGATACTTTTGTTACATATTAGAATGAATTAATCGAAATTCAGTATAAGATGACTACAATTGATAAATTTTGTAACAAGAAATAGGGCAGGGCATTAAATGTTGATACTGACTATCTTATTATTAAAAGCAGATAATAAGCATCAAAAACATATTGAGTTGGGCAAATGTTGATAAAGTTTCGTTTTCAATTGCACGCTCACAAGCCCATTGTGTTTTAGGAAGGTTTCTACTCTTACTTGTTAAAACTAAAAGTAAAAATAAAAGTAATGCAGTTTAACACATCAAATCACTCAAACCAGAGCTCTTTGGGCCAGCTAAGATACAACAAACACGGTAGTGGTCAAAATACTACTTGTATAAACCATTTGATACAACAATAATTGTTATTGTGTGTATGCCTTTTAGTTTTATAAGCTGGCAAAGAATGATTACAATTACACTTCTTGTCATAAGACATTAGCATTAGGCATATTTTCCAAGCACTGCATTCTAAATCTCGTCCTGTATGGATTTTCAAGATTTTGAATAGTGGAATACATATAATGATAGTATTTCATTAATACTATTAATAATATTATTGTGGAGCTTCTAATTTCTAGTTTTAGAACTCAGTAGAAGTTAGAACTACTAATAGAAATAGAACAGCCAGAGATCGACCTGAAATGGTATTAACTGGTTCAACTTAAAGAAAACTTACGCCATTTTTTATAGTTTTAGAGGTAGATAACCGTCTATGGAATGATTTTGATGGTTCTCCTTCGCCTTCACTTTCTGACGATTCTTCAGATGGGACATCAGACCCACATTTTTCGGACAAACTTTCTGGTAAACCTACCCCTGTCGCCATTATTCCACACTTACCTCGCCAGAAGGCACCACGTACAGTTATCGTCGTCTGCTGTAAATAAAACATTAGAATCACGTTATATACAGTTCAATGGATTTAGTATGAACATAGGAAGTGTGCTGAGAAATTTCGTTAAATTTATTCGAAAACATCAACTACTTGCAAAAAAAGAAAAAACTTTTAGTTTACCTTCTTGTGGCATAAAATAAACACAATTAGTTGCTGGTACTTTAAAACTAACTTGGACATTTTTTAAATTAATTATATTTGAGATGTTTGAGCAAAATATAGTGTGAAGCGTGTTAGTTATAAAAATTGTAGTACTAGTAGAAGAAATAACTATGAGCGTTTCTGAAATTTCGTACAATAAGTAATATCTAAAGGGGTTATATATATTAGAATATTTTAAGTTTCCTGAGCAATTACATTAGATTATAAATTAAGGTTTTCCTGTGCCACAGTTATTAGAAATTGCCTAATATATTATATTAAACATATGACGTGTAACTTAACAATACCACCTAAGGGCTTTTGTTTGTTTGTTTTAGAGCAAAGCATAATATCTGCTGTGTTCACTGCGGGCAATCGAACATCGGATTTTAGCGTTCTAAGTCCGTAGACTTACCGCTGTCCCACCAGGGGACGTCTGAGGGCTTACCATACATTTTCGAATGTAGTTAATGAAATTGCTGCACATGTTCCGCTTGGTTTTTCGTAATTCAGAGAACATTTCATAATATTTTCTTTTCGTTTTTTATTTTACAGTAACATTATTTAAGTGACGACTTATGTTCACGAAAATTTGCCATCAGTAATCAAGTCGTATCTATATAAATATAATACTATATAGTACTGTCTGTTGTAAGTCCATGTAACTACTTCGTAGGATGTGGATGGATCTTCACCAATTTTGGTATGGAGATTCATTAGGTCCAGAAAGATTTGCCCAATTATCTTAACCAGATGCTCCATGTAAAATACTGTTGCGTCAGCGAGGTCACGTGACTAGTGTCACACCACCTGCTTTCTAGAACTATCCCGTTCCTTCGGAAGTGCTCTAGCATTTACTAGAATGGGGGGTGGTCTGGTATATATAAGATGATCACGGCGTGACGTG